TTTTTTGTTTTTTGGTTTTTTTGGAGTGGTTTTTTTTTTTTCTTTAGAGATTTTTCTTTTTTCTTTCTTTTTTTTTTTAAACTACAGTGTGTGTGTGCTCACCAGAGAGACAGAACATGAAAAATCACCCCCCCACACACACACAGGGATGTCCATACCACAATTCCTTCTCCATTCTTCTCTCAGGATTTTGGGCATGTATGCACACACGCCCAGTGTAAGTTTAAACTACCAGGTCTGGGACTAGAACCGCAGTGACTGCATGGGAGTCCAGCAAAATAACCATTACCCCATCTGCTCATCCCAATTGAGGGGTTCTTAAACTTCAGTGTGAAAAATTATTGTTCTGGGGGGCCAGCAGGTGATGTGGTTAGGGGCGCTGGACCCCCACATGGCCAACCGTGGATCGAGTCCTGGACCTGGCGGCTTGCTTTCTTTCTTTCTCTCTCTCCCTCCCCCTCTCTGGTCAAATTAAAATAAAAATTAAATAAAATATTTTTTTAAAAATTACTGTTCAGGGGTCTGTACACAAAGTCATACGTACTGCCCTCAGTGGATGATTTTCAAGTGTCATTTTGAATAAAAGAGTTTTCAAGTGTCATTTTGACAATAAGGCCACTTCTACCCAATCTGCTGACTCTAGAACCTAACCCAAGTTAAAGTGATGTTCAGAACCTCGGAGTGCTGAGGTGACAAAGTTTCAAGCAGTGTCAACTCCAGTTGTCAGTGGCTGCCTATAGCTTTGTAATGAAAGGGGTTGGGATGCCCAGTTCTGTCTCTAAAGAGAGCGAGTCACAATCCTTGATGAGGTATGGATTATAGGTGGGAGGTCATTCATTTTAAAAGAAGTATACTTGCCTTTTTTCCCAACAGCTTTATTGAAACATAGTTCAGTAAATTCATACAGTTAACTAATTTAAAATGTACAATTCAGTGGTTTTTAGTATATCCACAGAGTTGTACAACCGTCACCACAATTTAGGACTTTTTTTTTTCACCTAAAAAGAAAACCTGTACTTTTTGAAGTCACCCCTATTTCCCTTCTTCCCAATCCCTAAAGACCACACACATTCGTCAGCTAACAAATAGACACTTTTTGGCAATTATGAATAAAGATACTATAACCATTTGTGTAAGGTTTTTGGATAGACTTAAGTTTACTTTTCTCTAGAGTTTTTACTTAGGAGAGGAATCACTGGGTTATATGATAAGTCGATATTAAATCTTTGGGAAACTCTAGTAAGACTGTTTTGGTAGCAATCACAGCATTTTATTTCCTACCCGTGCATACTTTAGAAAAATTTTTTCTAAGTGCTTTCTAGCAATAGGCTTTTGAAGCTAAGTTAAAATTTTGGCCCCCTGACCTTAACCACGAGTTGGTTGGGTATGGCTCTCTCTCCGAATTTGTTTCTCTGATTTCAGCCATTGGGTTTGTAGAACTCCACATTTGATTCTGAGAAAGGAAGTGGCTTCTGCAGAGAGAAATTAGAGAGTTCTGCTGTTGGAATCAATTTGAGTGAAGTCTAAGCCCACACAGCATTGAGAAAAGATAACATTTGGTAAATTAAACCCAAGCATTTATTGAAATTGTGAAATGAGACAAGTAAAAAAGAAACTTTTTTTTTTTAGTTCTTTTTTTTTTTTTTTTTTTGAGAGGTTTTTCACTGTAGGGCGCGTGCGCTCGCCAGACAGACAGAGAGAGACAGAGAGACAGAAAGCGAGAAATCCCCCCCCAGGGGGGATGGCCACGCCGCAATCCCTTCTCCTCCATTCTCCTCTCAGGATCCTGGGCACGCACGCACACGCGCCCGGCGTGAGTTCTAAGTCACCAGGTCCAGAATGCGAACCGCGGTCAACTACGTGGGAGTCCAGCGACATAGCCATTACGCTAACTGCTGGTTCCCAAAAAGAAACTTTTGATAAGCAATTTTCTGCAAACATTTCAGCAATGGAGAGCCCTCACCACACCCACTGCCATAGCAGCCAGAAGCGCAGCCAGAGTTAAGGGAGTTTTAAGTCCAGCTTTCCTCTAACCCTCCCTGTAGTGGCCTCATTTGCCTTACATGTACTGTAGAGGAAATTCTGTAACAGAGCAAAGTCTATCTAGGAAAATAGGAAGAACTTTTTTTCTTTTCTCTTTTCTTTTTGGGGTACATGTCAGTAGTCTGATTTTATACAAATGGCCTCCAAAGAACAAATTATATTTCTAGTGATTTTTGTGACCAAAAAAATATCAAATTATAGGCCTCAAGTTGATTATTTGGAGTAAAACACAAGGTGTGTTTTCAAGAGCCTCTTAAAGACAAGTTATAGAATTGTGCATAAGCTAAAAATGGTAGATGTTGAACATGGAAGATACCTCTTCAAAAAACAAAATAATTATTTATTTTATTTCCATTTGACCAAAGAGGGGCCAGCAGGTGGCGTGGTGGTTAAAGGCACTGGACTCCCACATGGCCGACCATGGTTGAAGTCCTAGACCTGGCGGCTTGCTTTCTCACTTTCCCTCTCTCTCTGTCTGATCAAACTGGAAAATAGTAACAATAACAATAATCATTAATATAAAGTTAAATAAAATAATTCTTTTTTTAAAAGTTGACTACAGAGTCAAAGAGAGAAAGTGAGAAAGCAAGCTACCAGGTCTGGGACTAAACCATGGTCAGCCATGGGGGAGTCCAGCACCTCAACCACAATGCCACGGGATGGCCCAGCAGATAGCTCTTACAAGCTTAGTTACTTACTCACTCCCTGGTGGCCACGTATGCTTTCCTCATTACTCTTGTATTTAATTTCAGCCTGTGTAGTAAACAAATTTTAAATAAGCAGAACAGTGCCGAGAATTGGATTTAGTAGAGCACGTCTTCTGCCTTGTTCTCCTCACAGGGTGCGGTATATCTTGAATGTCACTCGAGAGATAGATAACTTCTTCCCAGGAGTCTTTGAGTATCATAACATCCGGGTATATGATGAAGAAGCAACAGATCTCCTGGCCTACTGGAATGACACTTACAAATTCATCTCTAAAGCAAAGTGAGTAATGATCATGTGCACATATTCTTTTTTTTTAATAATTTTTATTTGACTTTGTTTATTATTATCATTATTATTATTATTTTAATTTGACCAAAGAGAGATAGAAAGAAAGAGAGAGGGAAAGCAAAAAAGTGAGCCGCCAGGTCCGGGACTTGAACTGTAGTCAGCCATTTAAGAGTCCAGCCCCCTTCCCCGAGTCACCTGCCGTCCTCCACGTACGTATATTGTAACCCCTGTTCTTCATGTACCACACATGGCTGGAGTATGAGGCTGTGGATAACCTATTGATACTCAGGAAAAAGGAAGAAAAGAAAAAAGACTGGGGTCATTGTAACCCTAGGCAAAAGACTAATGACTTAATACTTTTCCTCGAGGTAAATAAAGCCCCTCAACGTAGGTGACCTCTTGGCTCTTTCTGTTGAACACAAAATAAAGGAAAATAGACTTAATGCTGCAGCAAGAAATAGAAACGAAAAAAGGAAGACATTCTGAATGAAATTATTAAGTTGCCAATGGGAAGATATGAAAGGTAGCAGACATTCCATGGAGTGTCTCCACTGTACCGCAGGCAAGCATAGTGCACAGTGATGCACACAGAAAGCCAGATCCCACGTGGCTGGCTGCAGTTAGTCTCGGCCCCAGTGGCTTGAAAACCATGCTGGGCATGTGTGCTCATGTGCCGAAAATCCTGATGGGATGGAGAATTGGAAGACAAAGGATTGTGGTGTGACTGTGCCCCTTTGGAGAGGGTGTATGTGCACACTTTCACACAAGCTCGCATATCCTGTGATAATTTTTTTAAAAGAAATTATTCCAGATAGGTAGAATACCAGGTCTTCTCTGAAGATAAGGAGTGAAACAGTGAACTTTGGAAATCTTTTCTCATTCTTTTATTTATTTATTTTGCTAGTGAGTATATGCACTGTATGCACTCACTGGAGAGAGACAGGGCTAGAGAAAACAAAAGTGAGAAAGTGCGCCCCCTATGGTGGATGGTTATGCTGCAGTCCCTTCTCCTTTTCTCCTTTCATGTGTCTGGTGTGTTTTTCAGGCTGCTGGATCTAGGACTCGAATGGTGCATTCAGTCATGGGGGATCCAACTGCCTTCACCACCATACCACAGCCAGCCCCTTTTATTTTTTTTTTTAATTTTATTTTATTAAATTCCCAGGTCCAGGACTTGAACCATAGTCAACTATGTGGGAGTCCAGCGATGTAACCATTACACCATCTGCTGATCTCTATTTTATTTTTATAATACCCTGGTGAAATTTTTGTCTAACCCTTGTATTCATGTCTGTCTTAAATTAATCCCTCCCCCCTTTTGTTTGTTGTACCCACCAGGGAGAAATGGGGGAGAGTGAAGGGCCCTCCTACCTCCACACCCCATGGGGAATGGTCACTGCAATCCCTTCTTCTCCACTCTTTCATCCTTTCAGGATTTGGGGCATGTGCTAACATGCCCACCATGTTTTTCAAGATGCTGGGTCTGACTCAAACCCTGGAGTCAGCCTTGTGGAGACCGGTTGCCTTAACCACCAGGCTTCAGAGCCAGCCTTGATTGGCCGTTTGTTTGTCTGCTTGTTTTTGTTTTTGTTTTTGCCAGAGGGCGTGTGCACTCATCAGAGAGAGGGAAAGTGAGAAATCACCTGGGGGCGTGGGGATGGCACACACATGTATGTGCCTGGCGTGCTTTTCAAGCCACCAGGTTCAGAACTCAAACCATGGTGGGAACCAGCAGTTAGCATAATGGCTATGTCGCTGGACTCCCACGTAGTCGACCGCGGTTCGCGTCCTGGACCTGGTGGCTAAAAACTCACGCCGGGCGCGTGTGCGTGCGTGCCCAAGATCCCAAGAGGACAATGGAGGAGAAGGGATTGCGGCGTGACCATCCCCCCTAGGGGGGTGATTTCTCGCTTTCTGTCTCTCTGTCTGTCTCTGTCTGGCGCGAGCTCACGCGCCCTGTAGTGAAAGCCTCTCCAAAAAAAAAAAACCTCAAACCATGGTCAGCCAGGTAAGAGAGTCTAGTCCCTTAACCACTATGCCACCTAATGGGCCCTTTTTTTATTTATTTTTATTTATTTTTTTTATTTTTGGAGAGGTTTTTGCTATAGGGCGCGTGCACTCGCCAGACAGACAGAGAGAGACAGAGCGAGAAATCACCCCCAGAGGGGATGGCCATGCCACAATCCCTTCTCCTCCATTCTCCTCTCGGGATCTTGGGCACACACGCACACGCACCCGGTGTGAGTTTTAAGCCACCAGGTCCGAGACACGAACCACGGTCGACTACATGGGAGTCCAGCGACATAGCCATTATGCTAACTGCTGGTCCCTGTTTTATATTCTTGAAGCCCATTAATAAATTATTATCAGTAATAATATGACCCATGACATGCTCACTATATGTCTGATACTTCATATGCATTTGCATGTGATATTATCTAAAATTCAGAGGCAGATAAATGTCATCCTCTTCAGAGGACTAGAAAAAATGAGACAAGTTGTCTGAATCCTGGCTAAAGACACTTGAGTTCCAGGCGAGGACCCGGTCCCAATGGAAAGTTGATTTCAGCTGTGATTAGAGAGACAGGAGGTTCTCGGGGCACATCTAAGAAGCACATGCTCTGGGGCTCCTGCAAGCTTAGATCAGCACCTGAGTGAGTGCCTTCTCAGGCAGCACCCTCATCAGGACCCTGGTTTCTAATGTGATGCCAGGCTTAATCTAGACCATCTAGCCTAGGGCGGGGCTGCTGGTCCCACAGGCTACAACGGGAAGGAAGGAGATCGGACTGTGGTCTGTTTTACATGATTTCAGGGTTATCCACTGGGCCAGCTGGTGGCATGGTGGGTAAGGCGCTGGATTCCCACATGGCTGACTGTAGTTGAGTCCTGCACCTCACAGCTTGCTCTTGCTTGCTCGCTTTCATCAAAATTAAAAATTAATTAACTAATTCTTCTTAAAAAAAAAAAGAAGAAGAAGAAGAAGAAAAGAAAAAGAGTTATCCACTGAAAAGCCCAGTTGAAAATATGCTGAAAGAGATGTTTTCGTGGGAATGGATTTCATAATTATATTTTAGAGTTGTCTAATTTTGAGCATCTTCCATGTCTACAGACATAGACCTGAAATTTGATGCATTAAAGTTGTCACAGCTTGATGAGAAAATATAGAGCACATGTCTAAACTTCTGAGTCACCGTGCGTTGGCTTCTTAACCGTAGTCATAATGAAAACCCTATGGTGCCATAAGTAAAAACAAGTAATTCCTAGTCATTTGAGATCATTTAAGCACACACAGACCTGCACCAGCCTTAGGACACTAAGACTTTGAACCTAAGCGACAAATAGAAAGCCAGTCTTCCCTTCGAGACTATTTCGATGATTCCAGACTATTCTCTGTATTCCTGTAGTTTTATTGCTTCACTCAATTTTTGCACTTAGCCTCACACCCTCCCTGCACTGCCACTTAACTCTTTTATGTATCTCTGTCTCCAAAAACAGAATGAGCTTCTGGAAAGAAGCTTGTCTTTCATCATATGTGCAGTGAGCGAATGAGTAGATTTCCCCTGTTAGGCTGATATGTACATTTTTTGATTTATTGGACTAGTCACTTGGGAAGGATTCCAGAGCCCCAGTACACTAATGATAAGAATAACAGTTCTTTCTTCCAGATTTTAAAATGTTGTTCCTACTTAAGAAGTTGGCAGATCTAATCGGCAGATCCATAAGCTTGTTAATATATTTAACAAATATTTGAAGGATCACTATGTGCTGGACACTGTGTTATTAGCAAAATCAGCATAACCAAATACTGTTCCTATTCCAAGGTTGACTTCAGGGGAGTTGTTTGTTTGTCAGTATCCCTTACAGTAGCTTTGTTTTCTATTTCTTCAACCTCGTTTTAAAAAAAGAAAAACAGGTAGTTCTCATTCATTCGCCCTGCTCACTGAGAAAGCCACGTGGTACATAGAATGCTCCCAGCCAGCTCCTCGGGCTGTACAGCCAGTCCCTAGACAGGAAATGGGTCGTGGTATTATGAAAAGTAATATCCAGGGCTACATCTGAGCAGAGAAGAGGTTTGGTTTCATTTGGTTCGTGCTTCCCTCCAGGGGCAGAACCCTTACTGGAAATTAAACTGGAAACAATTCATAAGTTCTGAATAAATTAGATGAGTCACTGCCACACCTGTAACTCAGGAGAATGCCAGCCGCCAAACATGCCCCTGAGGCTGGGAGAGAAATGGCCTCCACCACGCAGAGTGGACTCCTGTCTCACAGTTCAAAATGCTCCCTCTTTACTCTGTGACCCACTGTCACTGCACATTCTGTACGGTTTCCTTCAAGTTCATTTATTTATTTATTCTGAGACGAGAGGAAACGAAGGGGGCAGGGCACAGCCCCAGCAGGGTCTTTACGGCATAGCCTACCCCCAAACCTCAGGCCAGCCAGAGTCACAGGTACAAGCATGGGCCTGGTGTACACAAGGAGACCTTGGGTGGTGACCCTGGGACCTTCCCATGTGGCCTCAGCGTCATGGAGTGCCGCTTTACCACTGTGCCCCCATGACTGACACCGTACTGCATTTTACTGAATACCTGTCTGTTTCTCCCGTGAATCCTGCCCTTCAGGGTAAAAGCCATGCGTTACTTCCCTTTGCATGCTAGCCCCTTGCGCATTGTCTTACACATGGTAAATATTTGCTGAATGGATTAAAGAGACTTCATATTAACATTGCAGGTAAGAGTACATAGAGGTTCTACCCTACCCACACACTGATTATAGATGTACCCACATGTTCCAACGTGGGAGGGTCACATAGCAAGAAAAGGGAAGAGCAGGACAGGAGACTTGGAAAATCTACAACCCAGTTTTTAAAATGTTACTCACGGGGCCAGCAGGTGGCATGGTGTCCTGTCTCACAGTTCAAAATGCTCCCTCTTTACTCTGTGACCCACTGTCACTGCACATTCTGTACGGTTTCCTTCAAGTTCATTTATTTATTTATTCTGAGACGAGAGGAAACGAAGGGGGCAGGGCACAGCCCCAGCAGGGTCTTTACGGCATAGCCTACCCCCAAACCTCAGGCCAGCCAGAGTCACAGGTACAAGCATGGGCCTGGTGTACACAAGGAGACCTTGGGTGGTGACCCTGGGACCTTCCCATGTGGCCTCAGCGTCATGGAGTGCCGCTTTACCACTGTGCCCCCATGACTGACACCGTACTGCATTTTACTGAATACCTGTCTGTTTCTCCCGTGAATCCTGCCCTTCAGGGTAAAAGCCATGCGTTACTTCCCTTTGCATGCTAGCCCCTTGCGCATTGTCTTACACATGGTAAATATTTGCTGAATGGATTAAAGAGACTTCATATTAACATTGCAGGTAAGAGTACATAGAGGTTCTACCCTACCCACACACTGATTATAGATGTACCCACATGTTCCAACGTGGGAGGGTCACATAGCAAGAAAAGGGAAGAGCAGGACAGGAGACTTGGAAAATCTACAACCCAGTGTTTAAAATGTTACTCACGGGGCCAGCAGGTGGCATGGTGGTTAAAGGCACTGGGTTCCCGCGTGGACAACTGTGGTTAGAATCCCAGACTCGGTGGCTTACTTTCTTACTTTTCCTTTCTCTCTCTCTCTCTCTCTCTCTCTTTCTGTGTGTGTGTGTGTGTGTGTGTCTATCTGGTCAAATTGAAACATAATAATAACACATGGAATTAAATAAATAAATCATTCTTTTTTTAAAAATGTGCTCACTAGTGTGTTTTCCGGTTCTTTATCTCAATCCCGTAAACTAGGAAACATGGCTCTAAATGCCTTGTCCACTGCAAGATGGGGGTGAGTCGCTCGGCCTCCACCGTGATTGCCTACGCAATGAAGGAGTATGGCTGGAATCTGGACCGCGCCTATGACTACGTGAAGGAGAGACGGACCGTGACCAAGCCCAACCCCAGCTTCATGAGACAACTGGAAGAGTACCAGGGGATCTTGCTGGCAAGGTGAGTCCTTAAGGGACATTCTCAGATTCTCCCTCCTTCAGACTCCCTAAGGCAAGGTGAAAATGTTCTCTGCAGCTAGTTCTCAGCCTATCTGGATATGACACTTCTTCTTTTTTTGGAGAGGTTTTTGCTATAGGGCGCGTGCACTCGACAGACAGACAGAGAGAGATAGAGAGACAGAAAGCAAGAAATCACCCCCTAGGGAGATGGCCACGCCGCAATCCTTTCTCCTCCGTTCTCCCCTCGGGATCTTGGGCATGCACGTACACGCGCCTGGCGTGAGTTTAAGCCGCCAGGTCCAGGACTTAAACCATGATCACAACCACGTGGGAGTCCAGCGACATAGCCATTACGCTAACTGCTGGTCCCTGGATATGACACTTTTTGAAAATAGATTTCTTTCACCATCAATCCAGTTATTTTCTTTTTCACATTTATTTATTTATTTAAACTTTTTTTTTTTTTTTTTTTGGTGAGAGAGAGGCAGAGAAAGGAGAGGAAAGATTAGCATGGGGCCAGCCAAGTGGCATGGTAGTTAAGGCAGCTGGATCCCACATGCCGAATGCACAGTTTGAATCCCAGTGGCTTAAGAAACACACCAGGTAGACCAGCAGATGGCATAATGATTACATCACTGGACTCCCATGTAGTTGACAGGGTTCGAATCCAGACTCAACAGCTTGAAACTCACTCCAGGTGCGTGTGTGTGCGTATCCAAGATTCCTGGAGAAGAATGGAGCAGGTACATGTGTGTGCATACCTAAGATTCCAGTGCATGTATGTGCATACCTAAGATTCCAGGAGTAGAATGGAGAAGAAGGGCTTAAGGCCTGGACATCGCAGCGCAGAGGTTGATTTCTCACTTTCTATCTCTATCTGTCTCTCTGGCAAGTGCACACACCCTATAGCAAAAATCTCTCTCTAAAAAAAAAAAAAGAAAGAAAAGAAAAGAAAACACACCAGTATTTGTGTGCATGACCAAGATCCTGAAAGGAGACAGGAAGAAAAGGGATTGCAGCATGAGGGGTGCTTTCTCACTTTCCCACTCTCCCTTTCTCTGTCTATCTCTGGTCTCTGGTGAGTGTATGAACCCTGTAGCAAATTAAAAAAAAAAAAAAAGGTTAATGTGGAATACTTAGCATCTAATCTTCCATATTGATATAATTAAAGAATGGAAATACTGTTTCCTCTTCTCAACTAAGTGCAGATTTCAGTAAACACTTGTCGACATCTTATAAGGCTGTTTAGCCCTAAAAGGCACCTGCCTTATCAGAATGGATACTGGTTACTCCCAAAGTAATTCTAGGCTTAACTGAAATTCCTGAAATTTATTTGGCCTTTTTTTTTTTTTTAAGAGCCAAGACAGAGACAGTGAGAAATCACCCCTCAGGGGGATGGCCACACTGCAATCTCCTCTCCATTCTCCTCTCAGGATATCCTCCTGGGATCTTTTTTTTTTTGAGGGTTTTTTTGCTATAGGACGCGTGCACTTGCCAGAAAGACAAAGAGAGACAGAAAGCATAAAACCCCCCCCCAGGGGGGATGGCCACACTGCAGTCCCTTCTCTTCCATTCTTCTCTCAGGATCTTGGGCACGCATGCACATGCGCCTGGCATGAGTTTAAGCCACTGGGTCCTAGACTCGAACCATGGTCGACTACATGAGAGTCTAGTGACATAGCCATTACGCCAACTGCTGGTCCTCTCCCAGGATCTTGGGTATGCATACACACATGCCTGACATGATTTTCAAGCCACCAGGTCTGGGACTAGAACCTTGGCCATGTGAGAGTTCAGCAATGGACTATGCCATCTGCTGGCCCAGACCTGTTCTTTCACAAATAATAATAATAATAATAATAATAAATACCTGTGCTCCTTTAGGTTTTTAATTTTTTTTAATTGCTCAACGATGTGGTCCCTCTCAAAAGAGAGAAGGTGAGAAAAAAGCAACCTCTGAAGGGATTGCAGTGTGACCAATCCCTTCTCCTCCATCTCCCCCTCCTTTGGGGACCTCAGGCACCCTCACACATGGGCCAGGCGTGTTTCTCGAGCCACCAGGTCTGGGTCTCAAACCACGGTCAGCCATGTGGAATCCAACTACCTTAACCCCCAAACCACAGAGCCAGACCACTATTTTTTTTTCCTTCAATGCCTGGTTTCACTGAGCCCTCTCCAGTGATTTTGGTCATGTGACAAAGGAATAGAATTGGGATTGTGTAGCCCACTTGAGGTATGAAGGTACTTCCCGGAAATCACCTTTTTGTTTTCTTTTTCTAAAATGTTTTAATCCTATATATAAACTTTATATACATATATACACACACACATACATACATACATACATATATACACATACACACACACATATATATATTTACATGTTATATATATATATAATGCTTTGGGAAAAGGTAGAAAATTACAAAGGAAAAAATAATTTATTAAGCTCAATACCCACAAATAGCAGTCCATGTTACCTTCTATTTCTCTTCGTTTTGTTCTAGCGCAGATATAGATTTTTGGGGGGAGAGATTTTTGCTATAGGCCACGTGCATGCCCCAGAAAGACAGAGAGACAGAAAGCAAGAAATCACCCCCCAGGGGAGATGGCCATGCTGCAATCCCTTCTCCTTCATTCTCCTCTCAGGATCTTGGGCACGCATGCACACAGGCCCGGCATGAGTTTAAGCCACCAGGTCTGGGACTCGAACCAAGGTCAACTGCATGAGAGTCCAGCGACATAGCCATTACGCCAACTGCTGGTCCCTCAAACACATATATTTATGGATTTTTTTTCCACAAACTTCCTATAGTCCACCTCTCCACTCAGTACTAGGTCTTGAAGGTCTTCTGAATCAAATAAGATCCAGCTATTTCCAGTAATAATTTGGTAATTGGTTATAAAATGAGGGATTAATTTCATTACACTATTACCCCTTTGGTAGTGAAAACTACCTTTAGCTGCTCCTGGAACAAGAATCAACTACTAAACAATTTAAGGATCAGTTTCCTAAGGTGCCACATGTTCCAGTTCTGTGGACTGCTGGACTTTGCTTTGTTTTCCATGTAGGCATTTTCTAGGTGGTTTCCTTAGAGTGAAGGCACAGCTGTCTAGAAGCAGCTGGGGCTGCTGCCAGTGTTTGACTCCAGCAGGTCTCATGACTTGGTCTTGACTCTTGAGTCTGGGCTGTATTTCCCCTGAACAAAATGTTAAATAGCCTTCCAGCCTATCCAGGCAGAGGGACTACCCTCTCACCCTTAAAGTATTGTGAAAATGTGGCCACAGCATAACCCCTCCCATTTACTCAGCATTTGGCACGATTTCTTCTGAGCCATTCTCTTAGGAGGCCGGGGGGATACTCGAGCTTCTTCTGTTTAAAAGAATTTATAGGTCTTCAGGGCCAGATTTTGATGACATTTTTAGATTAGATCAGAAGGTAGAGCACAGCAATTCTTTTTGGCACAAGACAAAGGCATGTAAGGGTTTGACGAGACATAGATACATATTCCCAGACACACGGCGGATGTTAGGCAATGTCCTCACGTGACCCACTGAGAGGAAGGATACTATGTGTCCTGCCAATTTCAGTATTTATTCTGGAATCCCAGGCTACTGCAAGCTGTTGGGCTGGGTTTTTTTAGTGTATGTGGTTTTTCTTAGATGTTAAAAGAATTTGAGAAAAATCTTAAGATGAGAATTAGAAGGGCAGAATAAACCAAAAAAAAAAACCAAACCCTTCCTTTTCCTTTGCCCTTTCGTTTTCCATTCCATGACTTCCTGGTCTTGATTCGTGGAGGGAGGCGCAAGCAGAGAGGAAAACTGACAGAATTTGAGTTTGTAGATCTGGTTTCCATTTTTGGTTCATCTCTTTGTTGCAATCCTGAGAAATTACTACATATTTCTCATCCTCATCTAACCCCATCTATAAAATGAAAAGCAAGAGATCTGCCTCATAGGGTTATTTGGAATCGAAATGTGTATAAATATTAATTATGTACTTTAATAGTTATACAGATGCGATTCTCATTGTCTCCTTCCTCCAAAACCACACAGAAAACACAGCCACGTGCCATTTATTTCGTGCTCTTTGACATCAGCCACTACCTCCAGCACCCACGAACACACCGCCAACTCCATTAGAAACTAGAATGGGAAGTGTTCCTGGGATTCCCTGTATGGTGATGTCTCCTGGATTTTAAGTACTAGAATCTAATGCTAGGGATATAACTTGGGCTGCGTTTGGCCACAAATAATAGAATACCTCCATCAGTCAGGATCTCAGCAAGAACCAGCTCACTCAAATTGGGATTATTTGAGGAGGGTTTTTATAAAGGGACCATTTACAAAGCTGTGGTTATAGTAGAACCAAAGGACTTGTAACAGCAGGGAACTTTGGTAGTAGCTCCTAGACCTGAAGAGAAGGGGAGCAGTAATTAGAATCTTGAAGAAAACTCCTAAAGAGAAAGGCAGCAGGGGCAGCAGGTGGCGTGTGGAGGTGCTGGACTCCCGCATGGCTGACCACATTTCCAGCCCTGGACCTGGGGGCTTGCTTTCTCACTTTACCTCTCTCTGTTTCTCTCTGGTGAGTGCATGTACCTTATATAACATTTAAAATAGTAATTGTTATAATAAATTAATTAAGTAAATAATTCTTTTTTATTATTGTTAATTAAAAATAAAGAGAAAGGCACCTTCAGAGACAAGCAGTAACCTCAGTTAAGACGCAGCTAGGGTCCGGCATTTGGCATGGTGGTTAAGGGCACTGGACTCCCACATGGCCAACCATGGTTTGAGTCCCAGACCTGGCAGCTTTCTCCCTCTCTCTTTCTTCTCTGTTCAAATTTAAATAAGTAAATAAATAAAGTTAAATAAAATAATTATTTTAAAAGTAACACACACAATAGGGACCAGCAAGTGACATGGTCTTTAAGGTGCTGGATCCCACATGGCCAATTCTGCGTTCAAGTCCCAGACCCAGTGGCTTGAAAAACACACTGA